AAAATCACATATAGTGCACAGATTTTATGAGCTTCATAAGATGTTATTGTTCAGTATTATTACTATTTCATATTTAAGTGCCGAATCGCGCATCAAATTAGGTCATGAATTAATTACGCATATACTATTTGGCAAATCCTTTTGAAAATAAGCTTAAGTGGAGTCCCTCACACTGGAACACAAATGTGTTTTTGCACAAATACTTTCGATTTATAGTGCATTCAAACCCGGCCAGTCAAGTGTGAATATATGCACGGGCACTTGATGATGAGTGGTTATATGGCACTCGGCCGGCTGCAAATGGAAATTATTACAGTGCAAACATGGCGAATGCGTAATATTCAATTAATTTGATTTCGTTATTGCTGTTGCAGATGCTGACTCGGCTGCTGTGCAAAGTCAATTAAGAATTTAGTGCAATTCAAATGTGCCCCATCTTCCTGCGAGTCCCAACACCCCGCGTTGATTAGTTTGCTCGCTTGTTTGCTCAATGCTGGAAAAATTATTGGAGCTTCCCATTTGGCCTTTTGAACTTTGACAGCGCAGCGCGGTCTAAGCGAAATATGTAACCATGCAAACAGCGAAAACTTAAATTATAACAGGCCCAGCCACGCCCACCGCCTTGCCGCCCCTCGCCAGTAATGCGGTTGCATGGCAAACTAATTAAAACTTGAGCGATTTCTTCAGTTGCAGACAGCGCCTGCTTGTTTTCCCATCGCTTCTTTATTTTCATTCTGATTTTCATTTTTATTTCCATTTATTTGCATTTGCGACTTCTGCTGCAGCTTTGGCTTTAATTTTTAATTCACTTCCTTGCGCCATTCCAGCGCGATTTGTTTGCTTTCATTTTCGTTTTCATTAGCATAACACTCACTTGGCCCGGAATGCGGAGTTTTAAATTGAAATCTGCAGACTGTATAAATTATGAAATGAACTTTTTTAAGCCGGACCTTTGACACGGACAGTCGGACTGCTCTAATTGACTTCCCTTGTGGAGGATTGCCTTAGTGTGCTAAGCCGGTTATCCTTTACTTCTCTCTGTGTTTATTTTTTTTGTCAAGCGAGGCAGAACTGAAAATCTATCACGCATACGCACTGTTTTCCCAAATCCCCACCACCCCGCCTTACCGCTCTATCTGTTTGTAAGCTGGTTTTGGAAAAAGTTCACTTCCCAGCTTGTGCGCTTTTTGTTTGCTTTTCATTGCCAAATCCTTTCTGCCAGGGCATATTCAACTTGGCTTTTAGGCAGTCCGTGTGTATTTTTGTGTATTTTTATTGACAGGCCGACGGCAGGCAAAAGGAATGGCGAGGCAAAGCGCATTTACTGCTCAATGCTCAGGTGTTGAGCCTGTCGTGTTATTCTTCCGTCCCCTCCTCATTTGCATACTTTTTCAACTATTTTCCATTTGCTTCCTTTCTTCGCTTATCTCCCGCTGAGTGCCAGGCAGCCACCTCCGAAAAAGGGTTCTGGCCCGAATTAAGCAGACAGTTCAGCCCTCAAGTACAGGCGCACACAGCGTGAGTGAAATATTGGCAGTACCACCACCCAATCCCCCAATCCCCCCTCTGCCCACTATCCTATCCGGACAGATCTCTGCGTTCGGTGCCACAGTGGGCCATTAATTGCGTCGCGCAATGGGGAAACCACAGAGCCGAGGCCAAGACCAGAACAAAGGGTTATCTTGACTGGGCCCCAACCGCAGCGGCGGGTGGGTAACTGGATCTGAATGTGGTCATCAGATAATGTTAGTTAGTCGCTGCAACTAGGGCCCTCGCCGTTTATCTTCTTGCGATCAAAGTTTCCTGCCTTCCAGCCCCGTCATGCGATTAACATGTGTCAAAGCTTGCGCTTCACTGAGCTTTAAATATTTGATTTGTTTTGTCTCGTTAATTTTTCCTTTTTTTTTGCTCTTCAGAAAAGACTGCCGGTGGTGGTGTGTGGGTGAGCGACAACTGTGTCAAGTTTTTCCCACTTTCTTGCCTTTCGGTTTTACGGGGCATGTTTCGGATACGGTTGTTGTGGTTGCCTCAGTGCTCGACACTTCAAACTTTGATGCTCTCACCACAAGTAAAAATATATTTATTTATTTTTACACCCCTGCAGAGGGTATTTAGTTTTCGGCAAAAGTTAGACGAGGGTTTAATACTGCTCAGGAAATAATACCATTCATTTGTGGTGTTCAATATGTATCTTGAGGTTTAAACAAAATCTGATTTTAATTCTTAAAGTGCACATTAAAGCCTTGCTAAAACTATCGTTGTATTGCTCTGACATAAAAAAGTGTGCAATTATGCCTCAACAAAACCAAAATAAATGAAAAATCGTTGGCCAAATATGTTAAAAAATATTAGCTGCAATGGGAATAATAAATCTGCTAGGAGATTCAAAGTTTGGGCTTGGGATTCTATTATTTTAAATTCCATGCTATATATTTAAATGGCTGACTGCTTTCTGCTGTGGCTGTAGAGAACACACCACTGTCTCTGCCAAGTTTGGACACTTTCTAACCAAATGCTTTACATGTTTCCCACACACTGTGCCAAAGTGTCTGTTTAAGCCGCTGTCTGGACGGAGTTTTAATTCTTGGACCGCTGTTGCTGCTCTCTGATATGCTGAACAGAACGGGCGACGACGACTGACAGGCAATTAAAAACGCTGGACAAGTCGGAGCCCTAAAAGCGCAGCGCCTTCGCCTGTGCAGGCCAATAAATCAGGACTCGGCGACTTGGGAAGGACATCAAACGGACACTTTGCTGCGGGCAGTGCAGTGGAGAGTAGTCCAATCCAGTCCAGTCCAGTCCAAGTGCGAATTAAAAAAGGGAAAACGGCCGAGGGAGAACATGAATCTGTGTATATAAAATTCAATTAGAATTCTATTTTATTTTTGCGCTTTTCTTTCAGCGCCTCCTTATCGCTTGCAGCTTTTCTAATCAAGCGGACAGACGGCGGGCATTTCCTTCCTTTCTCGGCCGTCTTTGTTTCTGCCCTTCTGCTCCTCGGGTGCCGTTCCTTTTCGCTGTAATTCGAAGTTGGGAAAACGAGAAGCAGCCCAGAGGCCATCAAATCAAGCGGAAGGAGAGCGGTCCCAACACAAGATTTTCACACTGCTTCATTTGTTCCACGGCGCCAACTTTCATTGCTCTTTGTGTGCGTATTGGTGCGGGTGTTCTGTGTACCTCTTACTCCTAGAACTTAAGGGTATATGCGTGTTGGGAAATCCATAAAACGTGTATGTACAAATAGTTGAGCTTTTTATAGCCAAAGGTGTCTAAGAAGCTGATGTTGGAGACCATAAATAAAAGAAAAGTGTTTTCGATGGATTTCGTAAGTGTACAAAGTATTTTTATTAAACTATGACCATTCAAAGTTATTTCCCTGAATAAAATGTCATTGTATACAATGATCATTAGCTATATTTTGTGAGGGAATTTTCATTCCGTTAATATATGTATTAAACTGAGTATAAAGCTTAACGTAATAATTAATTTCTGTGCATTGGCTACTAGGTATCTCCCAGTCGATAGACTGTAAGCTCTCCAGTTCGTAGGTCTTTGTATTGTGAATGCTGTGGGCCTTGTCGATAATTTTCTGCTTTTCTACACACTCAAGGGCCGCCTTTGACACAGCCACGAACATCTTCGGCGTGGCAGCGCTTTTGAAACCACAAATTACATTGAAAATTCCTGCTTGATTGAAGTTGATTGAGCAGGAAAATGCCGACAACGCCTCAGATTCGTTGCCGGGCAAACACATAGCTAAGCATCTCCGCTTTTCCCCCGAGGAGTCGATTTAAGGAAAAGTTTTAAACACCTGTCGTCAACTCTCTCTGTCATCCCCCGTGTCATTAAGTATGCGCGGTGAGGGCGGCTGTATGTTCGATCCGCCTGCGGTTATTTGCCGATTTAACGTGTATTTCCGATACATGCCGCAAGCCAGCCTCGCCACTTGAAGCTCAAAGTATCATAATTAATGAGCCAAGCCCACCCACCAACGCCCACCCTGCACCACAGAACTAGGCGTGGCCGCTCGCCAATGTGTAATCTCATTTAAAATGCGTTTTCAACGGGGCCGCCAGCAAAATTACAATTGCATTAATGCCTGCATTTGACGCACTTTAGCCCGCCATTTTGCACTTCCGTTTTTGGCCATTGAAGTTGAATGCGAATTTGGGTCTTAATTCGCAGTGATAGCATTTCTGTTGAATGAGGTTCATTATGACTGCCTGCAATATAAAAGGCCATTCGAAACATTCGTTTTGATAAGCAGTACTGATTATAAACAAAAATAATATGAAATTGGCATTCGATTTGAAGTACAGTGACTGTCTCGCATATTAAATTGAATTTTTTAAGACAGTACTAAAGAACTACCTGATTTTATTTCCAACAAAGGTTAAATTACATTTTAATTATATTGATTTATGGAACTTGTTCGCACTAAACATTGTTAAATGGTTCATATTGTTCAATAACGCTATTCATATTTCAAATTTAGCTAACTGGTTAGAAAATCTTAATGTTTTCCTGTTAAAGAGAAAACTTCGAGTAGTTAAAGTTTGATTTAAAGTACTTAAACGGACTTTAGATCATGTAATTAATTCGAGATAAAGATGATTGCCACATGTAAGCTATAATTAACGATTGGTTATCACCTTCAATACCGCTAATGACTCTACTCCGCAATCAATCAGATTGGAATATAATAACCCTCTGTTAAACTAACTCAAGTCGGAAAACCGCCTTATTGAATCAGCTTAAATCTTTACGTTTGCTGAGCTCTGGACATAAACTGTCTTTTATCAGTGAAGCGTACTGTATTTAATTTATGGAGGCTGTAGATTGGTTTTAGTATAAGCTGATTGCGAGATTATTGAGCAAACACTGGGCCCGTTTTGTCTGGCACATAGCAAACCAATGGGGCAAACAGTACACATTCGAAGTACGACAAATACTCAATTCATTGTTAATTAATATCAAATATTATTTAGTTTGATACTCACCATTTAGGGATTGGATGTCGCAGATTCTCGTTGCCAAAGAGCTGTCAAGGGGCAAAAAGCCAAGTCAACAGCCGAACAAAATACACAGAGATATTCGGAATGACTTAGGGGAAACTGAATTTGCATTTGAAATCTTGAGAGTTTTCGGCTCCGAAGAGTGGAAATGCAAATCGAATAAATAGAAAATAAATAGACGGCACTGGCAAACAAAATCACTCAGAGCACACAGAACGACTGAGAGGCAGCCTTTAAAGGAATGACTTTGCCATCATCCGCCCATTGTCATCATCATCATCGTCGTCGCCCCCCAAGATTCTGCGGATGCGTTTGTTGTGGCTTTAAGTGTGTGTGACCCCAGGGGCATTGGCAGTGGGTGGAAAAGGGGGTGGCTGGGTGCTGGTTTCTGGATTCTGGGAGGTGCAGAAATGCTGACTATGCTGCTCAGCCCGGTCATGTTGCGTGCCGAGCAGCTTAAGTCGTTATGAGATGACGATTTCTATACCGACTCACTTGCGACTGAGCTGCGACTGCGGCTGAGCAGCGGCAATATCAACACTTCCCTTTGAAATACACTAAAAAATACACATTATCCGAATGTTAAGGCTTTTTATCAAGCTATATGTGCATTAATATGTTTAATTCCGTCTAAAAAATTAGTGACAACATTGAAAATACCATTAAATCACCGTATAATACCTGATATACATCATAGTTATTATGAGTACTTATTATCATTATTATAATTATTACAAAACTATACATATTTTACAGGTATGTTCCGGTAGACGCATTTAAATGACTTTTTAATTAATATTTAGCGGTTCAAATTGTAATTTCCTGGGGGCAAATATTTTTAAATTGAGCATTTATGTATACACATTAACGATGTAAGATATGAAGTAGCCAAAAGTGAAGAACTAAAATTTAATTTATAAAAAATTGAGAGTAAAAACAGGAATACCACTACAGTATTAATGTGCAAAATATTAATTTGATTGGACAAGTTTATTAATATGAAAAATATGAATTTGAATGAACAACTTTATTTATATTTTTATTTATATAAATCATTAAAATCTAAGATCAAGTTTTCTTTGAAAATATTAATGGACCATCGATCATCGATGATGATATTTTTTTATGTGTATTTTATACCCCTCACCCCCTTTTTCACCAACTTTGATTGCAGTGCCCGGGGCACTTGGCATTACCAGTGTGTGTTCGGCTGTGGGACTTGGCTCAGAGACAACGTTCTCGGGCCTGATGAGTGGCTCTGCCGTCGGTGATTCGCTTTGGCAGTTCTTATTTATGTTATCGCTATCGCCATTGCCACCGCTTCTAGTTATATTTCCCCCGCCAGCGTTGTTGAGCTCGATTGTTGCATTTGCACAGGGCACATAACAAATAACTCTGGTGATTGCGATTAGGGTTTGTGCATTTTTCACTGCATTTCGCTTAGCTTGTTTTTTTTCGCATATATTTCTCCTTTGGCTGTTTGGCATGTAAAACTAAACGAACGTGCGACGGGTGGCATTTGTTTGTTTTACATTTGCGCGACAACATTTTATTAATTGCACAAAATAATCACAGAAACGAAACCAAAAACTAAACGACAACCAAAGCGCAAAACACAAGGGCAAGAGACAAGAGCAGATGCAATATTTTCAAAATATATTTTCCGCGAGGCTGCTCACTTTTTTTTTGTTTTCATTTGAATTTCGCACAAGATATTCTTAAATTAACTGCAAAATGCATTTGGCGGCCCAGCGGAAGCGAGCGCACAATGTCACGCAGCAAGACGGCCAGACCGACGGCCCCCGCTGCGTATACGCAATGGCACGCGCGCGCGACTTTGAGCGAAATTCATCCGTACCGTTGCCGTCGCAATCAATGCGTTTGTAATCTCCAGCTATATTCATTAATTCGCTGCTGCCTACTTCTTCCCCCGATTCTTTTCTTTTTTTGCACCCTTCTCTGGGACTTGTATCCGGAATCTGTAGCGCGCCTATTTCCTCTCAGCATGCGACTGCGACTGCGAATGCCAGCGGCCTTACGAATATTCAGAACGGCCAAATTGGCGAGCGGACTGCGAACTGCGGACTTCTGTCTGCGACTGCGACTACGATTGCGAACTGCGACTGCGGCTGGCTGACAGACGAATGAACTCCCGAATTTCCCTGAGCGCCGCACGAAGCTCGGAAACTCGAAAACTCGAAAACTCGGAAGCCCACACTGACACACTTACAGGCTGCGTTCCCAGCTCGGAATGTGCCCCAATGCGAGTACGCAAACGGAGCTCCTCTGCCAGCGTCGCTGCTTCCGTCCGCCGTCGCCGAGAGTCGCCGTCGGCTGCGCGCATGTTGCACTCAAAGTGGGCCGCCGCTCAGTCGCTCAAGCGCTCGCCCATCGCCCGCTCACCCACTCAAAACGCGAACGGCCGACCGCTCGGCTGTTAGCCGGCTGTTAACTGCTCGGGAATTCGGCCTGTAAATGTGTGTTAATGGGTTACAGCTTTACAGAGCTGTTGCCGCAGCAGACGGGATGCTATTAAACAGCGAAAATGGCACTTTATCAAAGTATAAATCTCTATTTTCTTAACCCCTCGATATTTTTAATAAGCTAAGCTAAATGAAACAAAAAACAAAATTAATATTAAACTGCTTTTAACATTTAGGAGAGTTAGTTTTTCCTCAAAAGCTTAAAGTGGACATTTTTGAACCCATTTATTACTGCCTTTAAGGTTATTTTTAGAGTTATACGCCATTAAATCAATTATTGAAGTCGTAACAATAGAAATTATTTTTTCATGTTCATGTTAAGGAATGTTTCTTTCTGAAAGGCAAAAGTTGTACATTTTATAAATTTACAATTGCTTATACCTAACATAACGACATTACATTAATCGCTTGGAATATTGAATGCGGGAGGTTAACTAAAGAAAATATTTAAATACTGCTTAATATTGTAAAATAAATTACAATTTTAATATATCTTGTTTGGCCTTTTGATATTCACAAATGTTTTAGAGTACAATAAGCTTTTGTAATATGTATTTATGCAAAATGAAATAATTATCCAATTTAAATTATGTATTTCGTCTTTTTGATGGACATTTAACTTGTAAAAATATGAAATCATTCAATAACGAATTTTGATATGATCTTAAAACAGGATTACCAAAGGATTAGGTTATGGGATATTGACAAGAAATTGTGGCCCAGCTGTTGCTGAGGTTTTTCCCCAGAGCGTTGCTGTCACTTGATGAAAATGTTACCCATACGCCGTGCTGTCTGATTGCGCTTGTATTACAAGCGGCTCAATATTGGCGTGACAGCGCGGGCTGCCTAAGCCATTAAATGCATGACAAATTTGGCTTGTCAACAAGCGGAAGACGAGCAAAAGTTTTTCCCAGCCATAAATTAGCGCTACGCAGCTCGCCCACGAAAAAGTCGCAAAGTAAATTCCAATTAAAATTTCGGCGTAAATTCCGCAAAATGTAAATTATTCGAAATGAAGTCGTCGTTGGCGTTTGGCGTAGCGGTGGTTTGTCGGTGTTTTTGCATTTGCGGTTGCGGCGGCGCCAGTCAGCAAACACCCGTCGCTGAAAGAGGACACACACAGTAGACCCAGTACCCCCAGCCCCCACACGTAATCACCCCTTTCAGCGCTCAGTTAAATTGTTTGTCTTCGCTTGACGTGCTCTCAGAATCCCGTCATCGAAATCCGAACTTACGGCCGGGCTAAAAGCGCCCCGCAACTTGAAATTGCTTTGTGGGGGAATCCTTTAAGTAGACTATAAATACCACCATCCCTCTAACGCAGGCGACGGAGGAATAACGCCTTGCAGCCATTCTGACATCAAACGTCTTCACCTCTCGGAACCTGCATGTGTGTACATACGCTGGCACATATCGATATATTGACGGCTGTCAGAAAAGTCTGGCATTGCCAGGAGATATGCGCGCACACGTGGGACTATTAGACTTCAATAAATTCAATTTACACAAATTTCAAATCCAGCGCCCAGCCCCCGACATCATGGGACGCCCTTGGCACAAGACGCAACCTGCATCCGCAAACAAATCAAAAGGCAAATACATATAAACAGGGACCCAGTTGTCGGGGTCAGCGCGAATAGCAGGTGCCCTTCAATTTGAAACTACAGTATGAAAATGGAGCCTTGTTGTTCGACTTTACTGTAACCTTAAAGTGAGTATGGTAAATGATAGCCTAAAACCTATTTCTTAGCTTACCATTAAGACAGGCAAAGTGACCTTAATCTCATAAACTCAGTTTATGATTTATTTTTATTTATTTTGGTTAGAAATATTGTTTCCTTTTGGCATAAATCCTTGAAACTTACATTGAATTTTGACTAAATTTATGCAAATATATGACCAGCTTTGTATTGTAAACCAGGTTACCTGATAAATAAAAATAATTATATAATAAATCCCCTTTTCTTTGATAAGTTAAATACAAAGCAAATTTAGCTTTAATATTTTTTTTTTGTGCAATTGCTTTAAGGGAAAACTTTCAAATTCAAATTAAAAATCAAAGCATGCCAGTCAATCTGGTTGAGGGTATACTCCGAGTAAGAATCAATCCTTATGCCAACTCATATAAACAAGGCGCTCGCTCACCTGACACATACAAGCAAATTTAAATTGGGCGCACGTTGTTGGGCAAACATCAAGGGACCGGTCCCAAAGGCTTCCCTTTGACTCTCAGCCACCCTGGTATTAGGCGTGTTTGCGGCGAAATAACCAAAAAGTATTGGCACAAGCCTTCAGCTGCATCTGTCGAGCGTTTTCGGTGGGGCTGTTGGTTAAAGTGGCCAAGGGAGAGGTCGGCTGCCTGGCTGCAGTAAGCGGATTCCGCTGGCAGGGATCCTGCCAAATTGCCGGGCGACAGACGCGCCTGTCATACCCTCTCCAAGGACCACAGATGCCGCTCAACTGCAGCTCAATATGCGACGTTCGACGCCAAACTGTTTGGGCCAAAATCGAACGATGCGTGGCATGCGGGCAGCATAGCAAATGACTTTTGATTGACATGTTTGACATTTTGCACGACTGGCAAAAATTGCTGGCTCATCTCCCTACCACGCCCACTGCACGCCCACATTTATTGCATTTTAAATGCGTCAGCATAATTTTCAACTTTCTTTTTCAAATGAAACTTTGCGGGGGGCAACCGGAGTGGGTGCACAGAAAAAAGTAAGTTGAATTTATAAGATAAATGGACTGAAATGAGAGGAAAATAGTCTTCGCAACTAATACAAATTTTAATAAAATAAGGATCAAGTTGCGAATGCTTCGTGAAATAATTACAAATATCTGTGAGCGAAACTTCTTCTATTTAATTTTACTGTTCTTTCCATCCACAGTCATTTTAGTTTTCCCTTTGAATCCTTTTTTCACAAGAGGAACAATAAAATAAATGAAATTCCACACTATCTTAAGTAGCTATCCAGTTGAAACTTATATTTGTTTTTGTGGGTGCATGTTTGCTGCTGTAAAATTGAAAAGCTTGCAGCTTTTCGGGGTAAAAACCAACAATCCGCACCCGGAGTAACTATCCCATGTGCTCGTCTATTCCAAAGGTTGTGGCTGCTTCAACTGTTCCAAAAAGAAAATAACCTCAAGACCCTCGCCTGCGCATGCTTCCCTGCTGGTAAAAAGGAAAACAAAGAGTCCGCCCCGAACATGTGGGCGGACTGCGAAGGGGGCGGGGCCCTTATACACACACACATTTTCGCAGTTCAATGCACAATTGATGGCAACAAAGCGCAAATGGAAGCGCCGCTCCTAGAGCTCCGCCAACAATACCCAGCATATGAGTGGATTATGGGCCAGCAGGCACTGGGAACCGATTCCAAGCGATGCCGCATATGAGAATGCGATACGATTCCATTTCGTTTGCCTCACCAAATTATGGCAGACATGCGGTCAGGCGGGGAGGCTGCCAAAGGGCC